CTTGTCATCCCTCCCTTTGGGATGTGAGCACTTTGAAACTCACCAACCTGAAGATCCCAAGGGCTCTTCCTGGTGGAAGGCCTGGGAAGATTTTTAGCCACTACTACTTGTGACTATTTAAATTCATTAAGTGACATAACACGTAAGGCTCAGTATCTTGTACATGCTAATTACATTTGAAATGCTCAGTAACGAGTGAGTCAGTGGCTAGATTATTGGTAAATGTAGATTGTAGAACACTTTTTGTCACTGCAGAAAATCCATAGTATGATTTATGGCAAGTAGTGACAACCATGAAGTTTAGCATTTAATCACAGTAACTCTTTTAAGCTCTTGCTAAGCAGCATGGGAAGCATCTTAAAGAACAGGCTCATTTAGTCTTTGCTCTGGTGCTGCATCCGGTGCATCTCCCGAGAAATTCCCAGGGAGAGGATTGTGAAAAAAGAAAGGCAAGAGTGAAAATACAGAAAGCTGAGATCATGTGGTGCTCTCTCTCTCTCTCTCACTGGAGAAAAAAACTGCCCAATGACTGCAGTGTGTTTATTTATACACTTGGCAGGTTGATGTTGGGTGAAACCCTTCTGCCCAACAATTACTTCACCTCTCATGCCCTGTGTTCTCAGGGCTGGTTTGCCTGGCTCGCCTTAGACACCTCATGCTCTTGGGGCTGAAACAACTTGTTCACGTGGCTCACCTTGGGCACCATGCATTCTTGGGCTGGCCTTGCTTCAGCCCCACATGCGTAACTGATCTCCAGCTTCAGCCACTCCCCATAGCTCCCCCTTTTCTGTTTGTAGTTGCAAGCGATGAGCAGGCAGTTGAAGTTGGAGGAGCTATGTTTGGAGGACTCTCTAGAGGACCTCTCTTGTAATTATACTTTCCTGCTGAATGTTCAAGACCAGGTTAAAGTGAGACCTGTATCAGTTAAAATTAATTTTTTGCTATCTATCAAGGTCAGTTAGTCTCCTGAGGATTTACCTTGGAGCCATACATAGCACCTCTCAGTTCTTCTGTTAGTTTTAGCCATCTGAATGAGTCACACCTGTTGCTTGACCAAGTTGCTTTCTGTGAAAGCTTGGGAGACTTTCTCCCTAGGCAACTCTCTTTAGGCACACTGTACACTATTGATTTCCTTCCTCTGTGGTCCCATAATCTCCTTGGTCAGGAGTTTGTATAACTCACCGGAGTTGTAGGATGTTGCAGGAAATGTGCCCTCATGTCCTGGGTTCTCAGCAACCTTGGAAGGTATCCTCCTAGCCCATCTGTCTTTCTAGTTTTTGATCTCCAAACCTCAATTATTGAACATCCAGAAGAGAAGATTAATGATATTACATTGTAATGGGAGCAGTGAGTTTAATATTATAAATTTATCTGAATATCAAGCACCTTGAGATACAAAGTCAAACCATTATTTCTAATTAACCATGAATGTTCTAGTAATAGTTGAATCTCTATAGAATATGAGCAAATAACAGTTATATAAAATTTGAAATCAAAAGCCATACATAATATTATAGCATGACAATCATAATGACATTTTGTAACACACTTAAATTTCCATTTTGACATAGTATAACCTTTTTAATCAATCATCTCTATCTAATATGTAAAAAGCTTTTACCTAATTTGTGATCCTTTAATGGGATGTCATTGAAGTGTGTGACATTATCTGGACTGCTTAATGTCTAGGCATCTCTAAGCATAATGGCACATACATAGTTCATACATCACATAAGTTTTTGTTATTATTATTGACTGGTGACCTCATGTTGGTTTGACATGAACCTCCTTTCACCAGCAGTTGGAACACAAAAGAAAGACAAATGTCTGAATCTGAAAGAAGAAGTATAGCACCATAAACAATCCCTGTTTTACATTTTGGAAGACCTGTACATCTGAAGGCATGAATACATTTTGATACATGAGGAGATTAATAACAATCAATTGTCATAGCCATGAAAACTTTCATTTCTTAATTTAGTTTTGTACAAGAGCACTTTTAAATCAGAAAACCTTACTGTCTAGAAAACTTAATCTTTTGATGATGGCCAACATAAACATATCACAATAATATATTTTTTGAGCAACATTTTTTTTGGTGTCTCCCATAAGGCTATGGAGATTATTGGGACTTCCTATTAATGAAGAAAAAGCTGAGGTATAATTTTTCTCAAGCAGCTATTTCTTTGTTCATCAAAGGGAGCCATAACCAATAATCTTTCAAGCCTAAAGTGTCCTCATTTATTTACCTTAACAAGTTGATGACCTATGAGAAAACCAATTTTGACATCATTTTGACCAGCTGGTAACTCAGGTGAATAGCATGCTTTTTAAATCTTTAACTCAAATTCAACATGGCCATTACAAAAGATGGCGGAGGATTTGACTTCAGTGCGTCCTCTAGATTCATCCTAACTCCTCAAATGGGACCCCAAGCTATTCTTACTAGAGTCTATGGACCTTTGCCCAAGGAACAGTGAGACTCCTACTAGACAACAGCAGTCTCACTTTAAAAGGTCTCCAGGTTTTGCCTGGTGTCACCGATGTTGCTTATATAGGGGGACCACAGTTATGATTTGAACTGTTCAACAACAGTGACTGTGGCAATTTTTGTCCTCTTGGCAATCCACATTAGCCAGCTTCCCTGGTGTTATTGACTGTCACTGTCCTCCAGACAAATTACTTAAATTTTATTTCCTTACACCCTTTGTCTTCCCTTCAAAAATAAGCTTGGTTCCCATAGTGGAAAGTGACTTTGTTTTCACAGATGGGTCCTCTTCTTGCAGGGGAGGTTATGTAATGGCCTCCCCTTCCTGAATACAGGATACAAGTTTTTCTTCCGTGCAAAAGACTGAAACTCAGGCTGTTACATGGGCCTTGCAAGATCATTCACCCACTCCCATTAACCTGTTTTCAGACAGCTCTTATGTTTGTGGTGTGGTCTGCCACATTGAAACTGCCACTATACACACTGGCCAAGATCTTTTTCATTTATTTCACACTCCAATTTGCCATTTGGTCACACCATGTCCCTTGTTTTATTGGTCGTTTACATTCCCATTCCCAATTGCCAGAGCCTCTCACTGAGGGAAACTCTGCTATAGACAAACTGTGGCTACTGTTGCTGTTGCTCCTTCAGATCCTACTGAACAGGCTTCTGCCTCCCATGCCACCTTCCATCAAAACACTTGCACAAACAGTTCCTTTTAACCCAGGGACAGGCTTGACAAATTGTTAAACAATGTTCCTTATGTGTAATGCATCTTCCCTCACTCCCTATGGGAATTAATCCCTGAGGGTTACACCCTAATCATCACTGGTAAATGAATATCACTCACATTCCTGAGTCTGGCTCTCTATGTTGGGTCCATGTTTCAGTGGACACTTCTTCAGGATTTATTTTTGCTTCTGCCCACACTGGTGAAGCAGTTAAAAATGTCATGGCTCATTGCTGGATACCTTTAGTACTCTTGGCTGTGTGCAGGCACTTAAGACTGACAATGGCCCAGCTTATACAAGTTCTGCCTTCCAAATGTTTTATAAAACCTTTCACATTTCCCTCATCTTATAGTCTTCAACATCAAGGAATTGTTGAACATACTCACAATACACTCAAAATTCAATTACAAAAACAAAAAAGGAAATCCTTCCCTACAAAATTCTTCTTGTAAGAGATTGCTGTTAATTGGTCCACAAAAACTTATGACGAGTCTGTTTATACTTACCAATTTATAAAATGGTATAAGAGTTATTATAATTCAATCTGGCCAAAAGTACATTTGAGTGCACTTTGATTTTGTAAGAAGACTGTATATTTGTTTGTCTGTTTGTCCAATCTATTAACAACTGTTTTTTATTTGAGCTCAACAATTTTTTCTTTCCTTTTTCCTTAGCATTTTTGGATCCTTTTGTTTATACTTTAATTATACTATAATTTGAGCAGCCTTGTGAGCACCATGATCCATGGACAACTGAAAAAAAATTTTCCTTCCACAATAAATGATCCCCTGGACTTAAACATGCTTTAGCTATTCCTTTCCAATCATTTGAGGTCATAATCTGCTCTCCTATGAGCTCTACAAAACCCAAGATAAAAGGGGCTGTGGGGCCACTATTCTTTTTCTTCTTGGGGCTTAGTTTTAAGATAGTGCTCCAAGCCAAATCCTCTGTGATCGTCTCAACAGGCGTACGATCATCGAGATGCTCCCTGATCCAGAGCCACAAATAAAAGGTAAATATGGGAATCAATAATACAGCAACCATTTCTATATACACCTGTGGTTCTTGGGAACCTGTTTGCTCCATGTTTTACACTTGATGATGGGATCAATGTTGATGATATCTACACGCCTCTCTCCCTTTTGTGTGCACAACTAGAAGTGGTCTCTTACCTGCTATATGACCAGTTTCCCCATACTGTGGGTCCCTGTTTGGGCACCAATATGCCTCATCCAGTGCAGCTCTTGAGAAACTCCTGGAAGAAAGTCTGTGAAAAAAAGGAAAGCAGGAGTGAAAATGCAGAAAGCTGAGATCATGTGGGGCTCTCTCCGTGGAGAAAAGAACTGCCCAGTGACTGCAGTGCATTTATATACTCGGCAGGTTGATGTTGGGTGAAACTCATCTGCCTAACAAGTAGCTCACCTTTCATGCCCTGTGTTCTTGGGGTAGGTTCACCTGTCTTGCCTCAGGCATTTCATACTTTTGAGGCTGGAACAGCTTGTTCATTTGGCTCATCTGGGGCACTCTGTTGTCGGGCTGGCCTTGCTCCAGCACCGCACATGTGATCACTCTCCAGCTTCAGCTGCTCCCCACATCCTAACTTCCTGAGTTAGATGTCACCATTATCCTCATGTCCTGGGCTGGGGGAGGGTTGAGGGTTGGAGGAGTCAGAGTTAGAGTCCAGCCACAAGTTTCCTCAGGGAACCTTCAGGGTCATCTTTGATTTCCTGAGTGTGTGCTCTCCAGGCTGATTTCCACACATGTGCTTCTCTGTTCGACAGGTATGAAGGGAATTTTTGGCAGAGTCGTGTTCAGCTGAGAGTCGGCAGATTGCGCAAGCCATCCTTGGGACTAAGAAGAAGCTCTCCCCCACCCCCACTTGGGCCAGCTTCATCAGAAGTGGAAGGTAATGCTAGTCTTGGAGGCAAAGCTGGACTGGGGAAGTGAAAGCACTGGGGTCCAGCCTGGACACTGGGCTACAGGAGGCTCAGGAGAAAGGGTTGGGTGCATGAGGGACAATGACAAAGGCTGACATTTGTGAGACCATTATCATGACTCTACATCAATACAGAAGGCAGAAGGTGAGAAGAGAGAGCATTCCACAGTCATCCCAGGTCTGGTATGGGTAGAAATTCCCTCCAGAACCTGGGAGGATGTGAGCCTAAACTCTCGGCGGGGATGCCTTCACCATCTCCAGGAGGGAGGCTTGCAGGATTCTTTCTGCTTTGCCATTGTGCAGTTCTGGGGATCCATGGATGGTGTGGGAGCCCATGTGGGCAGTGGTTCTTTGGGCAGCATGAGTCCCTGGCTGTCCTGATCCTCTCCATGAGCTACTCTTTGCTATGAAAGCAGGGACTCACATGGGGCTGGCCAATTCCTGGAGAAGGGTAGTTTAAGCTGTAATCACTGGGCAACCAGGGCAACTCACTTACCTTCTCTGGACCTCCATATCTCCTCTTTTCCTTCTCTCCCCAACTGTAATGAACTTGGCCTTGGCCTTGCTCAGGATTGCTTGGGAAGAATGAAGATCTTATGGGAGAGGCTGCCAGACCTCATGTAGCCAGCTGTGACTGAATTACCATCCTTTTGTGGCTCATTGTTGTCTGGTCAAGGGCTGACCCTCAGCTCTGTCTGATGTCTGAAGTTTTTGGTCCCGAGGGACCATGTGGGTAGGTACCCCTTTCTCCACCTTGTGTAGCTCCAGCATCCCTACAGGCAGAGGGCACTTGCTTCCTCTACTTACCCTACCATCCCATCCCCAACCCCGATACTCAAAATCCTCTATGGAGGGGAGGGAAAGGAGTAGCATTTTGGTACTCAGGGAGAATTTAAATCAAGGTAGGAACTGGTTCTTAAAGTTGGATTACACATTATAGAAGGCAAAATATTGTTTTTGTTAGGGAAGATCAAGGGTCAAAATCCAGGGGGAGAGACTGGTATTTAGTGGGGCAAGACTTGAAAGAAATATGTTCAGAGTATCCAGCTCTGCTTCTTTTCCACTTCCTGTGGCTGACACTCTCATCTGCATTACGTTACTCCTTTTTTTTTTTTTTTTTTTTTTTTTTGGTTTTTCTCCAGTACCGGGAACCGAACTCACAACCTTGCACTTGCCAGGCAGGCGCTTTGCCACTGAGCTAAATCCCCAGCCCCATGCATTACATTACTCTTTATCCAGTGGAATTTCCCATTGGGCTATGTATGGTGACACACCCCAAATAGGACATCTCAGAGCTGAATGGGGTCTGTCTATCAGGGCAAGAGAGAGATCTCACATAGGAAGTACCAGAAGATACAGAGCAATTCTCTGCTTTGTCACTGGGTCTCACTGTGACAATGGCAGGTGGTGGCAATGTCACTTTTGCTTTCTAGGTCTTCCCTGTGTGCCCCTTTTCTTCTCTTTGAGAGCTCCTCCAACTTGCAATCCACTATCAGGCGTGGGAGCCCCACATGAGAGAGCAGTCCCTGTGGGATCATGACCCTTGCTGGCTTGCTCCTCATTCTCTGTTTCCATGATCCTGCCCTCACCCTTGACTCCATCAAGTCTGGCTCTTGAATGTTCCCTTACATAGGTGTAGAACTCCAGTAGTGGCCCTGATGGAACTCTTGCTAAGGCACTGGCAGAGTGCTGGTGGCTATGGCTGTGGAGGGGTAGGCCATTTCCAACAGTCATTGGTGGAACACACCAAACCAAATAGCTCAGCAGATTGTTCCAAGGGGTGGAGGTCTCCCCTCAGCTCTTTTCCCAGCATCTTCAAGGCGGCCAGCTCCAGCTGTTGCTGAAAATTCATGGGAGCCTCTGTCTAGGGTTGTAGGCTCTGTATTGTGCACTGAAGGGGTGGGAGAAAGATACTCCCTGCTCCAGATAACTATGGTCAGGGTGAAGACAGATAAACTGACTGGCTCCTACCTTTGACAAAATCCCACTGGGAATGACAGATACCCTCAAGGTATCTCCTGATTGTGTGGCTAGGACATTGATACTCTGTCTTAAAGACCCCATGGGTGCTGAATGTAGCTCTGCTTGGCAAACTCTGAAGCAGCCCATGATGTTGACTGCCATGATACACTCAGCCTAATTAGCATACACGCACGACACTGACATGTGTTGAACTCCAAGCTGGTAGGAAACACATGGTAATGAGGCTTTTGTTATTTGGTGGAAGATGACGCCACTCTTGTTACTGTGAGGAGAGGAACACAAAGAGGAAGTTCTCTTGGGAGACAAGAGTTTCCTGTGGAGAGGTGGATGTGGGAGAAGAGGTCAGAGGCTTTCTGGATGGGAATTGGGCATGCACAGGATTGGGGCCAGGCAGGAGGAGTATGGGAGTATAGATGAAGTTTCAGGGTGGTGTGCAGTTTGGACCCAAAAGAAGAGAAGGGGCAGTCAACCAGAGGTCTCATTTGGTGTAAGAAATCTGTACTGCCCTCCTAGACTTGCTGTAAGAAGTCACCAAACAAATCTGGTGGCTTGAAACACCAAAACCTCATTCTTAATGGTGCTGGAGTCGAGGAGCCTCAAGCTCCCTCCAAAGGCTCTGGTGGAGGGTCCTTCCTCTCCAAGCTTTCATGGCTCTTAGCTTGTAGCCACAACATGCTGGTCCCTGGCCCTGTCTTCTAGTGGCCTCCTCCCCTGTGCTCCTGCAGGTCAAGTCTCCCCTTGTCCTTCTCTTAGACAGACACTTATCAATGACTGTAGGGCCTATGCTAAATCCAAGTTCTAATCTTGAATGACTAGCTTCTGCAAAGACAGCCTTCAACCAAAGAAGTCATTTCTATAGGTTCTAGGGGTTAGGACTTGGGGGCCTCTGTTCAACATCCTTGAGAATTCCTCCCTCAACTGAGCCAATGGAAATGATCTTAAAATAAAAAATAAAAATGCAAAATGCTGGCAATATAGCTTGCTGAGAAGGCCCAGGGTTCAGTCCCTATTACTGAAAAAATCTATGGTTCTAAGTGAAAATGGTATCGCCTCACATCAACATGCCATGTCAAATGTTGCATGTGGCCTGGCTCTCAGTCTTTGAAAGTCGTTTTGCCAAAATTTAATTACGAACTTTAATCATAAAACACAAAATCCCCTCCCCCCGCAACACACCGTGGCAGAACATGCTCCATGCTTTGGGAAACCGTACTCTGAGCAACTATAGGTAGACTGAATCTGATGGTGGTGAGGGCACACTAGGTCCTTAGAGGGAGAAGGTCAGGTGGCTGGCTGGCTGGGACAAGGGCAGGCCTCTGTGTGTGGCTGTGTAGGTCACACTAATCAGAGGGTGAATCTAGCCACTGCCTGTGTATCTCTGCCACTGCCCAAAGCAACGGGTGCCTGCTCTTTCCTCCTCCCTAGGGCTGGGGGTCACATCTCTACACTGCCTCTTCCTATCTTGTGCAGGTACCTGGCTTGAGCATGTGGCCCCAGGACCTCACGGTAAGCAGAGAGACCACTGGAAAGCCCATGACCTTCACTATTCTTCTGTCCCTTCTTCCCTTTTAATCTTCTCTCAGTCTCAGGGATACCCACCCAGCTGGACCAGTAGAGGAGCCCCAGAGGTCCTAAGATTCCCTCCATCTGGAAGATATCCAGCTTTTCTATCTACTTCCTGTCTCAACATCAGCGTTTCACGGCTTTGTCACAGTGCAATCCCAAGAGTGGAGAGGAGTGGGGGTGCCAAAGAATGAATAAGATGAGAACCCAAACAGAAAAAAAAATGAGACCCAAACAGAAAAAAAAAAAAGACCCAAAAACCCTGAGTATAGAGTTAAGGAATGAGGCTACCCATAGGTCAAACTCCTGCTGGAAACGTAGTTCCTCCTCTCACCTCACACGGGTAGATACGCTGGAGTGACAGCATGGGGGTGACAAATGTCTTGCTTTCATGTTTATTATTTGAGTAGCAAGCTGAACCAGAAGCCTGGGCCCCTAGTGCCCATTTTCAAAGGCCTCTTGCCCAAGCAAGTAAGAAGAACACAGAGGATGTCCACCAAAGGGCAAGTGTGAGCCTGTAGGATGCGGTCAAAGCACTGGCCCAGGGAATATTAATCACTACACATTCCTTATTGAAGTGTCAGGAAGGGCTCAGGCAAGGCTGGCAAGGCAGCCCAGCAAGCTGGAGTTGACAGATCATGATGGACACCGTGGAGTCAGGAGGTAGAAGAGTGCATCAAAATAAAAACCACCTGGAAATCAAAGGGGCAAGGGAATTTCATTACCGCTGCTCTCCAGTATCAGTGTTTCACAGCCGAGTGACAAGCACTCATAGAGTGTTGGGTGTTGGAAGATAAAGTGCTCTAACTTCAAAGGAACCCAAAGCGGGGCCTTGGCTGTCCTGCACTTACAGATTACTTTTGTGGTTCTCCTTTGACTTGGCAGGTTCTGGAGAGAGAGATCAGAGCTGGTCATCAGTGTGTATGTGTGTGTGTGCACATAAATATGTCCTGAGTGTGTGAGTGTTTGAGGACAAGAGAGGAGGACCTGTTTCCCATGGCGGGAAGATGACAAGATGATCTGTTTTGGGTGGGCTGAGGGGCTGTAACTTGGGAGAGCTGTATGGACTCTGACAAAGTAATTGACAATGGTCTTGCTGTCAGGGACTTGTCAGTTGAAGGAAAATCATAGGTCCTGGTTCTTGTAGGCTAACAGACAACTATCAGTAAGACCTTTGCAAATAGTGGTGAAGAACACTTGTGTCCAGGAACTGAAATATGCTATAACTCATTTTTTGATCTTCTTTATTTTCTTTGGAGATTCTTCCTGTCAATAACTTAGGAAGATGAGAGGGATTTTTTTAAAAAAAATATTTTTAAAGAGATGTTTAATTTCTCTATTCCAATGGCTTGAGACTAATCATTAGAATTAACAGATGGCTTGGTGGTGAAGTCATCTGCAAGCAGAAGGCCAGAGGAGTTATG